ATATGATATACAGCCAGATAAAGATAGCTAGTCATGCTCCAAGCTAAAACTTCTGCATATCACCTTCTGAACGAGCATTGGTCTTCAGGGTTTTAATAAACACAGATCTCTCGAATCCCAACTTTGCACTATGAGTGGGCCAGTCATCTGAGAAATATTTAACAGCCACACGCTTTCCTTCAGAATCCAGTAGAAGAATGTTCTTCACAGAAGGAGAAGAACCCTGGATAGAAAAGAAAGAAACAAAATTGTTTCAGCATTCTGAAAGGGTAATGAATAATGCGGCGAACTTTAAGATCATAGAAGCATGTTCCTGAATTTCTGCAATCCTACAATCCTGCCTAAATATAATCACTAAACTACGCTCCTATACTCAAACTACATTCTCATTGCAATGATCAGCTGAAATTATCACATCATCTCTTGAAATAAAGAATCTTTCCATCAGTTCTGTTTCATGATCTAAAGCAGGAGGACAACAAATTCTCCTTTGATGCACTACGTTCTGGGACTAAGAAGAAACAGCAAGGCCGGGTATCCTCAAAGACCATGATTCAATTCTTTGCTTGGATCAAACCAACATACGTTCTGTTCTGATTAGCAACTGGCTTAACAAAATTTTCATTTTCGACTTAATATACAGAGAAGACGAATCAATAACTGCATTCGTTAACGATATTGCTTATGTTTCATGCACCCATCTACTATCTGAACACTCCACTAACACCAGGAACCTCCAGGAAACCAAATAGTTCGGTTTGCGACCGATATCAAATGCCATCAACACCAGATATATCTAACAAGCCGATCACGCTTCCCCAAAAGTGCGCAATACGACTTGTTACAATCTTCCACTTAAAATGTCAAAACACTAATCTCCAAGCATGACCCACAATGGAGTGTTTTTAACTCAAACGTTATGTATCCATCATCTTCGCAGAAAAATACTAGAAATTACTGTGCTAAGGGGAGGTTACAGGTGCTTGTGAAGCGAACAAGACATAGATCTCTTTATCCAAACCTAGATTAATCTTTTCTCCGCCCTATTTAAACCTAAAACATAGCTAAACACAGGTTATTCTTAATGGTAATGTGAATTAATTGCTGAATAAAATACGCCATGAGAATACAAAAAAAAAATGAAAAATCTTACCATGAAAATTTCGTAGATCTGGCACAAGCGACGGGTGAGATCTAGAGAAAATGGGGCTGGTCGATTAGAAAAAAGGCGATCTTGATTCTTCAACAAAAAAAAGGCACAAGAAAATTAAAGAGAATATGATTGGGAAAATCGAGAAAAAAATGTCAAATCTGGAGAGAAGTTACCTCGGATTGAGTTGAGCTGAACCTCTAGAGAATCGACGGGAGACGATGAAAGAGAGAGTAGATATCATTTAAGTAACCGACCTCTAAGAAAGGGGCTGTTGGATGTAAACAAGGTAACACGAAGGGCTAAAGTGCATTAACGGATTTTTAGCATATATGTCTCCGAATCCTTACAAATTTCAAATTAGTCCTTCTATTTCATAAAGAGTTCTATGTATATTTGCCTTCGCACAAGCTCTCTCTGTCAAATTCATCATTAACAATTTAACGTCTTGACATTCGTAACACGCCCCCCAAAAACACCGAAATTGGATAAATACCCCTCGATTCTTAATCTCTTCTAGAAAGTTTTTGAGAAGCGCGGGATGCTCTCATCGTCTCAGTCTCAATCTCTCTGATGCTTCGGAGCCCACCTCGCCTCTTCGGGTAAGTTTTTGAGAATCTGGACATCTGGGTTTTGTGGGTTTTTGTGAGATATCGCTGATTCTAGGTTTGTTTTTGGGTCGGTGTATGCTTGGTTGAATAGCGGTTGGATTGTTATGATGGAAGTGTTCGCTGCTGATTTTTTTGTTCTGTATGCTGCACGCCAAGTGTTTGTTATAATTCCTTTGTGGAGCATGGCGGTTTTCGCATGCGCGTTTTATCTCCGCGGGGGTTTTAAAAGAGGAGGAGGAGCGGTTGGGTACTTTTAATTAGAATAGTTTGTAGGACTAAGTAACGAATAATCCTTAATATAAATTTGGATGGTATTTATTTTTTCTCTGGTGCAAGGAACCTTAGCTAGGACTCTCAGGTATCAGGGAGAAACCTCGAGTTCGAACCCTCAACTCGGCCAATTATGGGAACCACAAGGGGGCTCACGGCTTATACTCCTTGCCCGGAACCCTGAAGTGCTCGCCTGTGGGGTTTCCGAGGAAGGTCCCATAACCCAGGCCCAACATTCCAAGCCTGATAGTACAAGCCAAGTAAACCCCGAAGCCCGGGGCCCTCCTTCACAGTCCAAGCCGAGGTGGATAGCACATGTGATGCAATACCTAGTAATTAGAAATTGGGTATAGGCAATGCCATAGACACGGATCGACCATTGGCCTAGGGAGCCAAGCCCTGAGTCCCAACTACTAAGTCACCTGCGGGGGACGATGGTAAACATTTCACTCTGTCTGGGAATTGCTTTTCTTTTTACCCCCATTCAGGCCCTATCAATGTAATTTGGTTACCCGGGAAGGGGAGGAGGGGCCTCAGTCCCCTCCCATCTCTTCTAGTCCCCTCTCCTCTCATTCTCAACTCCCAAACAGGGATATACTGGATATTATTCACTAGCAGTGTTAGGTGAGGGTAGACTTGTCTAATGTTCGGGGACTTAAGTGGTATACTTAAAATACAGTAGATTGTAGGGCATAAGAAGGTTCAATTATTAGGAGAACATAGATACTGTTCTCTAACTATTAGATAGCCACATCAGGTTGTTTAAAATATGTGATCGTAAAAGGTCTAGCTTTCATTTATGAGCGACAAGTTCATGTCGTAATGGGAGAACCTTCAAAGGTTCAATATTATAAAGTCAATTCTAACTAAAAGTCAAATCATAGTTTTTTTTTTTAACTTTGTAATGATAATTTGCTTCATTTATTATTGACAAGTGAAATTATATAGGTACATATTCTTGTTTTTGGGATTAAAATGAGCAGCTTTTCTGTCTGAAGGGTAGAGAATCAAAGATTATCCAGTGGGCTAAGGGGAGCAATACATTAGCTGTTTGCAGCACCATTATGGATTCTGGAAGCAAAGCTTAATAAAATGGTATTTCCCACATTTCTTTTGTTTCAGATTTCAATTTATCTTCCATTTACATGTGGCATTTAAAGAGACATTATGTATTAGATCCATCAGCTATTTTTCATTTGTGGGGATTGATTAGTATGAATAAGGTAGTGGAATCTTCTGTCTCCTGCATCATGTATGTTACAGACCAGTGCTTATTTTGTGCTGATCTAGAAAAATTATCATGTCCAATTGTTCCTACAAAACATAATTGTCCATGTGGTAGTTTTCACTCTGCCTCCTCTTCCATTAAATAAGAACATATCTTTCCTGATTATTTTGATTCTATGAAAATTCAGTATCCTTTTGCTTTGCCTGGGATCTGAATTCTCCATTACGTTGTCCAAATTATCCATTAATTTAGAAATGTTCAGTCTTCAATAAAAGTCCCTTGAATTAGTCAAGCAATAAGTATAAAGAAAATGGATAAAGCTAACCAAATCAAAAATCTTAGACATATAAGTACAAAGATCTAACGCAGTATCAAGTGGAGAAGAGCAAAAAATGGGTAAGTTTGTCTACGTGTTTATAATAAAACCAAACCTACGTGTTTATAATAAAACCAAGTCATATTTTAAATCTCTTTAATTTTAGACCTTCAGATATCCAACTTGTACTAATACCAGCCTAGTTTTGTAAAATTATTATGAATTCCAGGAGAGGAATTCCAGAAAAGGCTTTCTCAACTTATCAATCTTAACCATCAACAGCTCACATAAATAAGGAGGATGAGAAAGTAGAGCATAAGTACCTATATAATTAAGGCTTGAACTAATTGTTCTAACGAGTCTATGTCCTATAACCTTTTCAAGCAGCTAATTTTCGTCAAATTTGTCAAAAACCATGTTGCCAGTCAAATCTTATTCATCTTACCAATTTTAAGAGGATCGAGCAAAAGAATGGACCTTGCAATTAATAAAATAACTTGTTTTTTGCAGTCCAAGGCATAAAAAATTAAAAACAGTAACATCTATAGATTGAAGTAGTAACAGAGAATGTATTCAAAATTACATAATCCCTTAATAATATATGCATTCATACAATCATCTATCAATTGATCATCCAACTAGAAAATAACATTCCTAGTGAAAACAGCTAAAAGAAGATAATAGACTTGTCTTTGCTCTTCCTTAAAACCTCTAACCAAAGTGGAAAATAAAGGTAAAAATTACATAGAGATACTGCAGGATGCATAGAGCAATTTGATCATATTAAAGTGATCGGCAGATGCATCTTTGATATCTAGCAGCTGCATAATATATCCAAATTTTCATTTTAAAAAACATATTTCCTCCCCTGTTTTCGTTTGTTCTTGGAACCATTCTGTCTTGTCTCAATTTATCCTCACTGCTTTCTAACTTACTTGAGCTCTTCAATCGTGTGGAGTGATGAAAGGGAAGGTTGAGTAACTTTTGTTTGAGGTAGTACGAGATGAGCTCCTCATGGCCACACCTCAAGTTCTATCAACTTCACTGTTTTCGTCGAAAGTTGATTTTGAAATGGAATCCATTAAAACTTCAATCGCTTACAATGAATTACACAACAAAATAAGAAAATTACAACTCTCTAGAAAATAACACAAGAATCGTTTGTCAACTCCTGCTTTTGTGGGATCTTCGCTTGTGCCGGGGTGCGTTAGCCCGTTGACCACCGATTCACAAGATTCTGATTGAACCGTGAAGGCTTTCGAATGTTCTTTTTCGTTTATCGAAATAAGAACTTTAAGCGAATATCTTATCGATGTAAGATGTTCACTCTTCCAAAGATCAAGTCTGAGCTTAGATTTCTAGGAATCATCAAAAGCTTCTTAAAAGTGTTTTTGAAAGATGAAGACTCTCTCTCTTGCTCAAAATTGCCAAAAGCTCAAGCCTCTATGCTCTAATTCTACTCTCCTCCCTTTGGTTTCGTGTATAGGTAGGTATTTATAAGGATAGGGGTCTATAACTGTGGAAATGGAAACAAAATATTTGATCAGTCACACTCTCTTTGGGCGCGTCAGTCTTCACTGTCGCGGCCATTAGCGCGTCAGTGTAAGTTGGCGCAGCTGAAGAGGCAGTTTTAGCCACGTTCAACCACCTTTGCAACTGTTCTCCCACGACTTTAGGTCCACGAAGTGCCACTTTTCTCGGTCTATAACCATCCCTCCACATTAGCACACGTTCTTCTTCTGTTATGCCACCACGTGGACTCTCAAAAGATGCTAAAAACCGTCAGCAAGCCCATAGGAGATTACTCTGTCGTTTGCGCGTCACCATACCTGTCGCGCATACACGCGTCACAATACGCCGCCGCGCCGTGGCGCGTCACCATCAGCTGTCGCGCCTATGCGCGTCACCATATGCTGCTGCACCCATGCGCGTCAGTATTTGTTGCTATGTAAACACGCGTCAGTGTACTTTGTCACGGGTATGCACATTGTTCTTTTCTTAGTCTTGAGCTGTATTTGGATATCTATAAGCATTTTTTGATGCCTACATTCACGTCAAAAACATATGTTCTCCAAGTCCTCTGTTATCCTTTGTTTTCGCAACCAAATCCTTGGGGGCTGCTTCCTCTCCCTTTTCCTCCATGTTTTTCGATCCTAACCCACTTTCCTGAAATGCTCAACATTCCAAGAATGTTTTCTTTCTAATAAAAAGAAAGAAAAATTAGGAGTTAAGTGTCATCATTTCTCCGAAATGAAAATATGACATACAAACGAAGAGTTTTTTTTCTCGATTTTTTACAAATATCAACATACATGATTGACTTCAATCATTGTGTTGAGGTGAAAAGGGCAGTTGAGGTTCTTGTGCTTGAGACAGTGGGAGGTGGGATTGCAGCTCTAAGAATTAATCGGGGAAGAGTTAGCAAGTAAAATCCTTATAGTCAAATGTAAATTATAATTATGTTTGTAATTTTTAACCCTTATTATGTTTAGTAAGTTGATACTTACTAAAGTTCGTCACAATTATTTAACCCTTAGCAAAAATATAAATATAAAGAAAAATAAAATTTTATTAACCCCAAGCAGCACCAAGCTCAAGATAGATGTTCCACGGACATTTTAATAGGCTCTCCATTGCGAGGAATATTAGTTCCTTGGATGGGCCAGTTGATTCCTCAAGGAGAGCTCCTGTTTCTCCCATACTATAAAAATTATAAACAGAGGTATCAACTTGACCAAAACTCAAATAAGTTTCACCAGGATTGACAGAGACACATGTATATTTATACTAACAATTTGAAAGGAAAGAATAGGACCAGATGCTACAAATGCATTTTGAGAATAGAGCTAATTTATGGT